AGAAGTAAATATGGGGAAAATTGGTAGAATATTAGAAGACTTTTTAGGCTTGAGCCATGAACTATAGGAGCCAATGTCATGAATTAGATTTTAACTTTTATTTGAACTTTCATAGTTATTCTGAAAAAAGAAGAAATAGTTACAACATTCATGTAATAAAGGTTTTTTCTTGTTAATATGTAAAATACATTAAATGCTTCCAAAGTAAGTTATGAATGAAGGATTTAGATGGGAATTATTTGCAAATACTTGTCTGAACCTAAACAAAGATATATTTCCCACATCTTTAAATAATAAAACTTCTAGGGGCACAGCTATAAGATTTTGTTTGGAAGTAAGCAGAGAGATTTTTTTAATCTTTTTACAGAAATGTGTATTTAGAAAATATAAGCAAACAATATTAAAAGCAAATCTTTATTTATTTATCAAATATTGCCATCAATATATGACTCTGGCCATTCAACCACTTAAATGCACCAGACATACTACTCTTGCATACGATAAATGCAAATTGCCTGCCATAATTAACTTTTAGTTTCATCCATCATTTGATTGCACATTTTACCAACATAACTATCTATAGAGTTTGCTGAGTTGATATCACTTTCAATAAATTGAAGAGTTCCTTCAAAAAGTTGGGGCAACAGTGTTTTCGTTGAAGAATCTTCCTGTGGTTTTGTTTGTTTTGAGTTTCTAAGCATTAAAAGCCTTTTCCCATTAATAGGTTTTTCCATCCAAAGGCTTTTTGATACAATAGCTCTCCTTTAAGTTTCTAAACATTCTTCCCATTTGAGATATCTTACCGTAATGTGTGGCTTGATGGAATAAGGAAATGTGTCAACAATCCAGTTGGGTGATTGACACAATTCAACATGTCTCCCTGATGGTGGAAGCAAAAGAGTGCCCTAATTTTCCAGAGAATTAAGGTTGATGAGGTAGCATGAACCCTCATTATTATTAGAACAAGAAGACAGAAAAATCCCAAATAAATCTGCCAAACACATATTAGGGTACATATTAAATCAAGTACTATAACATGATAGGGACAAAGAAACCATGTTCTTCCACAACTATTGTACATACACAGAGTATCTATGGTGAATATTGAGAACTATTTATTAAATTTTATGCCACCTATCTCCCGTGTAAGATGATTCTGGGCAACTTACAGATTATAAACAAATACAAACATTATTAAAATATTAAAACATTAAAACTACACAGGTTAAGATTTTAAAGACCATATGTTATCAACTTAGACCAAAGAGAAAATGCTTTCCTGCTACATAGTTTTCCAAGACACTGATTTTCTCACCCTTAACCCTTTCTAAAATCCTAAGGATTTTAATAATCTTTCTAATACCGTGTTTCCCCCAAAATAAGTCCGGGTCTTATTATTTTGCCTCCAGGTCTTATTTTTGGGGTAGGCCTTATCTCACCTCTGGCATCAACAGCCCACCCAGCCAGTCCACTTCTTCTGGAACAGAAGTTCTGCAGCTGTATTCAGGGCTTTGCAGTCAGGGCTTTCCAGAAGACCTAAGCAGCCGAGTATCAAGCTATGGATTCAATCCATAGCTCGGTGCTTGGCTGTTGAGGTCTTGCAGAACCGAGCTATGGATTGGCTGCATAGGCCTTCCGGAAAGCCCTGTGACTGACAAATGCAGGCCTGGCTGCAGAAGAGGCCTGGGAAGAAGAAGTGGGCTGGCAAGGAGAGGCATAGATGCAAGATAAGTGGGTGTGGGGTGGGTAGGGTAGATCCACCCCCCATCCCTGCCCTAGCTTGATTTTTAGGTGTGTGCCTTGCCCCCAAACTAGGGCTTATTTTTTGAGATAAGTCTTATATTAGGCCCATCCCCCAAAATCAAGCTAGGGCTTATTTGTGTACACCTTACTTTCGGGAAAACACAGTATATTGGTAACATGTTGCATTATGATGACTAATAATATGGCTATGGAACGGTGGTCTCTTGAAGAACAGATAGGTTTTCGGTTTTCTGATTGATAAAGGCAGTTATTTTCTGACAGATTTTTGCTTTGCCAAGTACTTGATGCTTTAAATAAGCATCAAGTTTTAAATAAGCATCACATGTTTTACCTGTGATCCTTGCTTCTGCTGAACATTTCTTGAATGTATTGTATCTAAGCTATTACGATGTTAAATTTTTATAAGCAGCTCTAAGGCCCTAGAGCAGCAGGGAAAAAAAATCTATTAGATAAATAAATAGTCTCATTCAAGCCACTAGAACAAGTTAGTCATAACTCCAGTAATGACTAACTTTCACAGGCAGTTTGTTATAACTAACTTTAAATGAATTGGTGCTTTTGAATAAATAACAATGCATGAAATTGCAAATCTAATTTCAATTTAATTGAAATTAAAATGGGCCTGTTATTTACTCTTTAAATGTAATAAGATGGAACTAAATATTGATTTTAGGTAGAAAAATGCAGAGGTCTTCTATTAAAGTTGTATATGAAATAAACTTTAAGCCACAACTTTCTAAGAGTTCTGTTACGGTAGACATCTTAAAAGATGTTTTTGATGCTGACATTCAGACCAATGTACACAGTGTAAGTATCTCCCTTTTTAAAACATTTCCCCTTAGAACTAGTTAGAAAATATTTCTTGCTCCCTGATGACCAGTACTAAACCAGCATATATATGGTTTATTAGCTTAGCCTTAGCATTATTCCTGATATGTGACTTTATCAAAAGCAAAAAAAAAAAAAAAGTTAACTGAATGCCTGGTCTTTTTTGTCTCATTAGAACAATAAAACACAGAGCATGTCAGCAACTGACAAGAAAAATAATGACATATGAATACAATGACACAATGCTCAAGTATTTTTTCCTCTTTATTCAAAGTGTAATGATAAAGGCAAAAACACATTTAATTAAAAAAGAAAAATACTTGATCACTTATTAGATTCTTCAGATTTATCTAACAAATGAGGACTTTTTAAAAAAATCACAAAAATGAAAAGTTATTTTGACAGTGCTACTAAATCATACACACAATCCTGATTTTCATAATTTAAATTATGTTAGGCAAGTATATATTAGTTGGATGTATTTTGATGGATTATTTTTCTATAATAATAACATACTCTTTTTGCATACTATAATTTTTATATATTTGCAAGTATCCAACTGAAGAAATTTGGAATAAGTTATTAATAATATTTGGTAAATTAAAGTGAATATTTAAATGTACTAGAAAGTCTTAAATTTTTATGGAGTCTGTTAGGAAATGTCAAAATTGTCATGGAAATTGTATTTTTAAAAGGAAAAAAAGAAGGAACAGTCAGAATTAATTTTATATGCCAAGAATTATCTACTAATCAAGATCAACAATTCTTTAAATAATCAATTATATCAATTCTGATTTTAATTAAATGACATACATTTAAGAGTGAGGTATTTTGATCCCAGTGCATAATATAAAGTAAAATAGCAGAACACATTAAATAATCACCTTTATAAATGACCTGTTAGTTTTGTTCTCAGAAAATATTTCAACAGAATATCTGTCTATGTGAACATCATTGGAAATTACTGTAAATCCATAAGAATATTCATAAGAATATTGCTCATTCTTCTGTTATCTTATATCAAATGCTGTATACTATTGTACTACTTTAATATTTTTTAAAAAACTTAAATTACAATCAATTTAATATGAACAATTGGTTACTTAGAAATATGTTAGGATAGCAATAATGACAACCATAAAAATCTTAAGAAAAAAATAAATGAGTCCTGGATATTTTCCCACAATATAATAATTTAATATTCTGTTAGAAAAAGACATTAAACATTTTCTGTATTTTAGAACAATACAATGCATTGTATTAAAATAATATTCCTCTAAGTTTGCAAATAATTATAGAATGTTATAAGTAGGTTTATTGCTAAGTGGCAGAGTTTGTGGATCCTTTTGCACAATATCCAAAATTTATTTATTTATTTACTTATATATCATTCATTAATTTATTCATTTACTAATTCAGTTACTTCATGATTTTGAAAGGCTTACAATTAAAACCTAATACCAAAAAACACAGAATACAATACAACCATACAAATAACCACATAGAATACAATCATACAAATAATTCAAAACCTAACACCATATAGTGCTGTAACTAGAAAAGCCCAGTAATGCATGAACAGTACAACCATTTTAAGGGCTCTACACTACTCTATGTTCCCCAGGCCAGATGGTGAAGGCCAACAAGGTCAAAGCCAGCTGTTTATGGGGGCATAAAATGATGTTCCATAGGGCAAGTGCAACAGATATGTAACTGCCTAAAAACTACAATAAAAGCTATGAAAACTTACGCTTTATTGAAATCTAATCTCAATAGCAGTTAAGGAAATCAGTTCTTATATTAGAAGCAGAACCGAGGTGGCGCAGCAGTTAGAGTGCGGTACTGCAGGCCACTTTAGCTGACTGTGTTCAGCAGGTCAGCGGTTCAAATCTCACCAGCTCAAGGTTGACTCAGCCTTCCATCCTTCCGGGGTAGGTAAAATGAGGACCCAGATTGTTGGGGGCAATGTAAATATATATTCATTGCTTACTGGTGTACACTGCTTAGAGAGTGCTTGCACTTAAAGCGGTATATAAGTCTCATAAATAAATAAATAAATAAACATAAGCCATAATACAGTCTGCATTAAGATAGATGAAAAATGACAATGTGAATATTCAATTTGCCATGCAGTAGCATGCTATTGTATAATTGTAATTGCTTGGCAAGTAGATCATTTTGAATAAGTATCAAATGGTGAGGAGCATATTACATCTCTGTTTTTGTGAACTTTTGAATAGTTGAAGAAATCTAAGGTTTTCTTTTTATCACCTTGATGATAACATGGGTAATAAATGATTCTGTATATATTAAAATGGCTTCATATCATCTTGGTATTTTTCACATAAGTGTTGAGAGTGAGAATATTCAAGTTGCTTAATTAAGACCTTCACCCTTGTTTTCTCTAGAAAAAGACCTATCAGTGCATCAAGTGCCAGATGGTTTTCTACAATGAGTGGGATATCCAGGTTCATGTTGCAAACCACATGATTGGTGAGTGAAGTACTAAATCTTATTGATGATAGACTGTTCTCCTAGATGTATTCATCATTGCCTCTAAAATTAAATTGAGTTAAGGAGAAATTAATTGTATAACCGTCAATGATTTACCCAGGTGTGATAACTTTTTTTAAAAAAATATTATTAGGCCTGATAAAGCATTAGCATGTTTTATTTTCTGCAAGGGCTAGTTTAGACTTCTGCAGAGAATCATATACTACTGCCAGTCAAAACACAGGTGATTAACAAATTAAACTTCTAATCATTTTTGCATTATTGAAAACTAACAGGAATGGTTAATGAACTGGTTGTTAGCTTTCCACAGAGTTTTAGGCAGGTTTTAATTTCAGAAATTATTATGATAATGACACAACTGAGTGCTGCTCAAGTACCATGATACCAACAACAAAATTGGCAAGTTTTGTGACTAACAAACGTAAATAATTCAATTGGTCATAAAATAGGAGTCTATGTAGTACTTGAACAGCCTGAAAACCCTCTAGAACAATATTCAAGAAAATGAAATAATATATTTAATTAAGAAAATAGCCAAGATCTGCTACGAATAATGCTCAAAATATGTAATCAACATTTTTAACAGTAATTTTCTTAGTATTTCCACAAGGTTATCTAACTAGAAGGTATGGAATTGAAAATTTAAAATGTACTTAGAATATATAGCCTATAAGCAAAATTACACCAGAATAAAATCCTGGACTGCTATTGACATGATAATATGTGAATGCTAACCTTAACTTTAATAAGAAGTGGGATAAATTGTGGCTCCATATGTATAATACAAAGATTCTTATGCTTCTGTAGTAGATGATAAAGTATTTTGTTTTTCAGAGTCTGTAGCTCTATGAGAGGTCCTTGGCACTCTCTGAGCTTGGTTGTTTTCTTGCAGACATTTTATTAGCACTGATGATGTTATCTAGTTTGGGTAATGAAATATCTGCAAGAAAACAACCAAGGAGCTCTCATTTCAACACCGAGTTACAAAGATTCTCCTTTATGGATCTGTAGCTCTATATTACTATATAGTCGTAGCAGCAGAATTTGTGTTATCAAAAAGATAAAGTAAGAAAACAATGTAAAAGTCTGGGAACCAGCTAGTAGACTTTTTAATTATTAATTACTTTTTCACATGTAGATGAGTTTCTTTTGTTCAAACATCAACATAATAAATCCTGTGAGATAACAAACTTGTAAGATAGCAGAGGACAAAAGTGCTTTATCAAACAGCATTCATTAAGATTTGTAAACTGGTCAAGGTACAGATACTGGTTAACTATACCAATCTCTAAATCTAGCTAATACATGACATTAGTTTTTAATCTAGAATGCTTCTGAACTTTTTAAGTAGCCAGTACAAAGAGACCTAACATGTACATGTAATAAATATATAGAGACATTTGGCTGAATTTAGACTAAATGAGTACAAATAAATTATAAGATCTTTTAGAGAACCAGAATCTTTCAAAAGACTAAGACAGGGACGTCCATGAGAAAACTTTAACATGTCAATGATAGGAATGAATACACAAAACCTCTCCTCTTTTTAGCATGTATCACCTGATTGTAAAATAGTGTGAAGTTTCAATTACATTTTCTCACTCACTATTTTGATTTTTTTTTATATCCTCTGTGAACATCACTGAATACAGTACACTTAACCATCTCATATCTATTATCTATAGCAGACATGTCAAACTCGTGATGTCACGTGACGTTGCGCAACGTATCGGGACAGTTGTGCCATTTCCGGCAATGGGGTGGGCATGGCTTCTACGTGACACGTCTGGCCCATGGGCCAGCAGTTGGATACCCCTGATCTATAGAATATACTTTGGTGTACCTTTTTGTTTTGGCCTTCCTTTTAATGTTTTAATTCTTACTTTACATTGTTAAGAGTAACTTCCTTGGATTTGAAAGTGAAAAATATATCACCTTATAGAAGCTAACTTCTGAGAGAAAAAATAAAAGCAGTGATGCATCTTTGGTGTAATGTTGTATATATTTAATCATATTAAATCAAAATGCATCATTTCAACCATATTTTGCATTAAATTATTTGTTGAAATAAATTTGGCAAGATTTGGTCAGTAAAATACATTAAGGGACACACATTATGTGTTTTAGCCATGTCTTCAAAACTAGCCTCAGTAGCTGGGATCATATATTGAATCAGTAATGTACCTAGGATATTTGACACCTGGAATGAACAGATAGATTATTAACACACACGTGCCACACACACACACACACACACACACCTGAGAGTCAGACTAGAAACTGGGAGACTATAAGTTCTAGTCCCTCATTAAATAAGAAGCCAGCTGGGTGACCTTGGGCCAATCAATCTCTTTCAGGTCTAGGAAGAACACAAAAGCAAACCACTTCCAAAATCATGCCAAGAGAATTGCAGAGGGCAGTCACTAGGAGTCAAAACTAACTTGAATACACATTTTTTTTTCCTCTATTATTGCTGTGCTGCTGCCAAACGGTTGCCCAACACATTGACACCAATGATTTTCTTCAACACTCACTTCTAGCTGCTTCAAAATTAGCCTCCTTGTGTCTTTGGCAGAACCATCCTTATTGCAGGTACCTGGAGTAGACACCCTCCATCCCCCAAAGCAACACTGTATTGACTGATGCCATAAGATGATGCTTTGTAGCATAATAGTTGAGATCACATGTTATGATAAAACAGTATCAAGCAGATCACATTAGGAATTACTGCAGAGTGTGAATCTTGCCAGAACGTGTGTATTTAATATATCTGGCTCCTTAATTTTGCTAGAGAAATGTTACATTGTTGATAAGTTGCCCTATCTTTATTCTACAAGTTGCTCTCTATTCACAGATAAGAAATTTCATACAATCTAGATTTATTATGCTACCTGAAGAACCTAGGGTTCTTTTTATTAATAGTGCCCAATTACACTGTACTACTACCATGTCAAGTGTGAATTGTATTGCGGTAACTGATCATTGTGATTTGGAAGATAAAGCCTATTCTGGAAATTAGAGCATGTAATATTTGTAACATGCTATGACCTAAATATATTATGATATAAAATAGGCATCTTGTTTTAATACCACTCTCATATGGTTATTTTAGAATAAGAGCAATAACAGCAGTACTGTTCCAGATATAATTTACCATGACTTAGATTCCATTCATGTTTGTTCAACAGATCAAAGTCCTGATACAGTTCTGTTCAAAGTCTCAAAAGAACTTACATATTGTTAGCCATGCTGTACATTTTCACCTTCCGAGAAATGTCAGGTAATGGGCTAGAGGAACAATGATGGAATGACCAGTATCAACAAATGCATCAGATACTAAACATTTCCCAAACATATTGTCTATGGTTTCGAATTATCTATGTTGTATTGTTAGAGGTAAAACCTGGCTTTTAGCCTAGGCAAAAATGTTTAATTTAAAGAAATACAGTGTGAAGTTCATTAAATGTTAACATCTATTTAGCCCAATGTTTCCCTGTTTACATCTTTTCATCTCACTATAGTTTTGGAGGATTCTAATCTTGCAAAAGGAATCTTCCAATATAAATTGTGAGGTCTAACAGGTAAGTGTAGTTCCATAAGTGCTTAGATTGTACAATTGTCAGATAATACTGAGTGATGGTGATGAACAACTATTTTATTATACTTTTTCAGACTAATAACATTTGAGCAATAATATCAATCACCAGTCAGTCCAATTAATACTATATCTCTAAAATTATAGACACTTGTATTAAAGTCTTTGAAGAGGTTAATATATTCCAAACAGCCATAGAAAACTCTTTCATGAAACATAGTAAGCAAAACTGTATGTCACTGGCTGTATAAAATAGAAGTTCATATTCACCACTGAAGTCTGATCAAAGTGACAAAAAAAGGGATAGAGGCAATAACAATCCTAATAGTATAGGTGTATTCATGGAATTGTAATAATAAAAATTATGTAAAAAGTGGGGATTATGTAATGGGATAAAAAAACTTCACATTTTTTTCTTCCAACAAATAATGTTTATCTTAGAATTAATAGATACAGTATTTTCCGGCGTATAGGACAACTTGGCGTATAAGACAACCCCCGACTTCGGCGCGAATTTGCATGCCTAGAAAGTCGTCTTATACGCTGGAAACTACCATAATTTCCAGTGTATAAGACAACTCGGCGTATAAGACAACCCTCGACTTCGGCGCCAATTTGCATGCCTAGAAAGTCATCTTATACGCTGGAAACTATCATAATTTCCAGTGTATAAGACAATTCAGCGTATAAGACGACCCCCGACTTCGGTGCTGATTTGCATGCTTTAGAAAGTCGTCTTATACGCCGGAAAATATGGTATCTATTTTACTTAATCATTTATTTATGGGCAAACCCCTCCACCCATTTTCTAATGCTTTTTAGTAATGCCAAGATCCTTCCAGTTACGCAAAGGCACACTGAAATCATTATTGTGCATGGCTTCAGAGATCTCACTTTGCACAGTTGAGGAACAATGCTTTTTCCCTCTGAAAATTAAGCTCAGTTCCAGAGTATCCAAACTGGAGAACTGTAATTATGATTATGAATTAACCTGGAAAAAAGTTTCTTCCCTCAAATAATTTAGATTTAAAATAAGGGGGACACTATAGATTGACTGAAAATATGGTGATGGATGAAGATTTTTTTTCTGTTTTCATGCTACTGCCACTCTGAATGCTTTGCCTGTTTTACTAATCAGGAAAAGTTTTTACACAGCTTGGTTTTTACACAGGCTGAAAAAGAATCAAAGTTAAAACTAGGAACGTAGCTCATTCTTCAGCCAGTTTATATGTGCCTGCAGTAATCCATATTTACTTTTGTTTCTATTGATGTATTTTGTGAAAACGGTGCATATTGTATAAATAATATTTATCATTAAAATGACTGATTGATTGTGTGTGATCAAGTCAGTGTTGAATTTTTCCCTTGATTTTCTTTCTTTAAC